TGTATTTTTGAAATAAGTTTTTTTAGTGTTTTTAAAGACACACGAGCGAGAGATTTTAAGAGATTTAAAATCTTGAAAACTGAGTTCATATGTGCAAGACCTAGATATGCATTTTCTATTTCATGATTTGCATTTTTCATCTATAATTACAATAAGTCACCATTATTAGATAGTATGTCAAGGTGATGAAGTGCTATTATAATAAAAATTATTGTAAAACTGAAAAATCATATCACACATATATACCATATGTCTTATATTTATAATTTTAAAAAAACAAACAGTAAGCTTGTTATTTCACAAATATTGTAAATTAAATTAACTCTCATAAGTTGGACTTTGACAGTCCAACTTTTGAGTATTAAGATTCATTATTTATTTTTGTTATTCATTTATATGTTTTCTGAATTTCGAACCCGCTCCTTTAATGACATGTATAGGCTGCCATATCTCGGCCGTGTCCAAATTCAAACCTTTCAACTGAGCACAAAAGCAGTGCGCATGCGCACTGACGCGTCGACGACGGTGTCAAACAGGGATGTGAAAATGATCGCAAACTGTGCGGACAAACTCAATGAGCGGACTAACAGCAGACCGCAGCGGCAGCTCGGATAGGTTTTGTGTTAACAGCCCATGAGTGCGGACTTTATAGACCCCAGCTTCGCTTTTCTTGAGCTGAGGAAAATCGGTTTAAGTCACTTTTTAAGTGCCGTCGAGCTAACTTAGCGACAGTTGAGCTAGCCGGGGAGCTGGAGCGGCGCGCGGTGACCGGCTGAGCTAACATTAACATGTAACTACGGCGAAACGAGCAGTGGTAACGTTAGTTTAGCTCATTTTCACCGTTTCTTTCACTTCTGCTCGGCGTTTGGCACCGTTTTCAGCCGGGAAGCAGCACCGAGGAGGAGAGGAAGATGTCTCGGAGGCGGCTGGACAGTCGTAGCGGACTCTCCGCCGGACTGCTCGGCGAGATTCAGACTCCGATCAGCACGGAGCCGCTGGAGAGTGTGTACGAGATCACCGGGGAGCTGGGCAGGTGAGTCCGCAAGAGAGTGCACCTGCTGTATGTGACACCTGGGAGCTGTACCTGACACTATACAGTCAGATATTTACAGATGAAACTCAGTTTCTGTATTACTATCACTTACTAAGACAGGGTTACTACTTATAAGTCTTTTGTTGTATTTATTTAGTACTACACTTGTGAAGTACAGGTACAGGAACGCACCGTCCAGTGTCATAGAAGGTATCAGCTTTACTGTAGACATGTAAATACACGGCTACTGATATAGGGAAAGTCAAATATCTCAAAATCACCAAAGTAAATGTCAGATGATAGGACGGATGTTTCTCTGGTGGACAGATACGTCGCACTGTAAGAGCTGTAAAAAATTTCCCGTGTCTGTTGTGACAGTGGAGCTGAATCAGTTGGAGACTGGGACAATATATATAGTCTACCGGCTACATCTGTTATTAGTGTTCTTTTCAGTGGTGTAGAAATAAGAAGAACTAAGAAATCAAGTGTTAAAAACATGGCGTGTGCTTACATTTCCTGGTAGGTGCACGTCAGTGTTTTTCCAAGCATTTCTTTATTTGACTGTCATTGCTTTGAAGATAAAGCAGAGCAAGAAGGCACATGCACATGTATGCATGTAACTTGTTTCTTGTTTGTGTCTTTCATAAGTGAACTGTACACAATCTGGTTTCCAAAAAAGGAGAAGTAGACACCTGACATTTTTAAAGATCACATAACCCTCCTACTAAATATTCACCAAGCTTAATTTAGGATTAAACAGTTCCTCTTCACTAACGATCACTACGCATCAAGCACCCTTTTCCCAGAAAGAATAAGAAACAAAGGTCCTTACTGGGAATAACCTTTAATGCAAGGGCTGATTGGGAATATTAGGTTTGGAGCATTGTATTTCTTATGTATCTATTTATATTGATTAAAATAAAGAGCATGATTGTAACAATGCTTTCTCAGGTAAATGCGCTCTCAATCTGTGCATCCAGTATGCTATGAGATTACTTTTTACTAACGGATAGGCTGTAAAATAGTGACTTCTGCATAGATAGATAGAATATAGATTTTGAGGGATGTTTGAAACTATTAGGCTGATATATATCCCTGGCTGATATAAAACGAATATATATTATATAATATAATATAAAACTAATATAAAACTTTGTATCTGAAGGTATTTAAAGTCTGATGTTCTTTAAAAGACACAAAGCTATTGCTGTTATAGAGCACAAACAACACTCTACCTAGTCGAAAGTGTGCATGACCAAATACTGGGCTAATTGTGCAGTCTCACCTAAGTACACATGAGCTTTGTACCGAATCATTAATGTATTCTTGAGAAAATAGGTTTTTAGTCTGTTTAGTCTCTCGAGGTGCAGGTGAGTAAAATGTGTTGCAGGCTTTCAAAGGGGTTTTCGTTTACAATCTACGTACAGCGAATTTTTTGCCCACTTTAAGCAAAAAAAAGTTATTTATTGAAATTTGTGATTGCTACATGAATTATGGTTAATCTTATACAGCAATGAAATGCTGTTCATAAACACAAAATTTTCATGTCAAAACATTAAGTTTTTGAATGAAATTAACCAAGACGATACACCTATATATTAAAAATCTGAAACTTGGTGCATCCTCTGCTCTTCTAAGACCGTTTCAGGGACTCCTTACAATTACTCCTTATAATACCAGAGTTTTGGAAAAATTTAGTGTCAAGCTTGTCATTCAGTTTTTTGTGAATATAAAATACTCAGCAAAGAGGCAAAAATAACAGTAAAGTCATAAACTTATTTTTAAAAGTTAACACACAGTGTAGTCAACCCCCAAAGGCTGTGTTTTGAGCAGGAAAAACCCTGAAGTTGTGTTACAGTGAGTAAAAACTAAAGTAGTAAAAATATCACACTCATTTTAGTCCATGGGCCTAAAAAGTCCTGTTTGATCTCTAAAAACACGCCAGTAAATATTTCCCTGTCTTTTTAACTGTGATGAAAAACAGTCTGAAAACGTTCAGCTGGCTTAGGACAAAGGTTCAGAAGAGGCTGCAAC